TTTATCCTGGGGAATGACCTGGCAGGGGGCAAAGTAATGCCTGTGTTAGAGGTTTTGGATAAACCTGAGATGGTTTGTGAGGCTGATGAACTGTCTGAAACCTACCCTAATGCTTTCCCGGCGTGCGTGGTTACGCGCGCGCAGTCACGCAAAACGGGGGATGTAGTCACCTTGGCTGATTCATTTATTGCCCCGGTTCGGACGCGTGATGCGCCTCCAGAAATTGTTTGCCCTGAAAAGCAGGGTAGTAAAAAGTCAGTGTGTGCGGATTCAGTGGTGGAAACACTGAACTGGCCGGTGACACGTGAGCAAATTATCACTGCACAGAAAGAGAATCAAAGTCTTACTAAGTGCTTCGCTACTGTTGACAACCTTAAAGAGACGAATGTTGCTTATGTTGTTGATAACGGTTTACTGATGCGTAAATGGTTCCCTAATACTGCTACGGACAAAGAGTGGGATGCTGTGTGTCAGATAGTTGTTCCTACTCCTTACCGCCAACATGTCTTGAGGTTAGCTCATGATCACGAGTTGTCTGGTCATTTAGGCATCACTAAAACATACAATAAAATACTTAGACATTTCTTTTGGCCTGGGTTAAAGAAAGATGTAGCTCACTTTTGTCGTTCCTGTCATACCTGTCAGTATGTGGGACAGCCAAATCAGGTGATTCCACCTGCTCCCCTCTCTCCCATTCCCGTTATTGGTGAGCCCTCTGAGCACATTATCGTGGACTGTGTGGGCCCCCTGCCTAAAACAAATCTGGAAACCAATTCCTTCTCACAATGATGTGTGTTGCCACCCGATTTCCTGAGGCAGTTCCCCTGCGGAAGATTACTGCACCTGTCGTCGTTAGAGCACTAATAAAATTCTTTTCTACGTTTGGATTACCGAAAATTATACAGACTGATCAGGGTACAGGAAAATCTCGGTTTTAGTCCCGCGGAGCTCGTATTTGGTCACACGGTTAGAGGGCCGTTAAAGGTTCTGAAAGAGAACATGATGACAAACGAGACAGATCGTAAAACTAACATCTTGGATTATGTGTGCAAGTTCCGAGAACGACTACATACCACTTGTTCTCTTGCTAAAGAGTCTCTCGCTGCTCAGAAAGGCATGAAGCGCCTTTTTGATGAGAAAGCAGTTTCTCGCTCATTTAAACCTGGTGACAAAGTTCTGGTTTTATTGCCTGTCCCTGGTTCAGCTTTGTCGGCACGTTTTGCTGGGCCCTATGAAGTCATAAGGAAAATCAGTGAGACCAATTATGCTATATGTACTCCTGACAGTATGCCATATCAACATGTTAAAAGCTTATCATGATAGAAATGCGCAGGTCTCGGCTACAGAAGAGGTGAAAGAGCCTATTGTTTCTTTGATGGCAGTAGTCTGTACGGCAGAACCCTCCGCGGTTGTGGATGGGGCAGATGAGGATGGTATTGTGCTGCGCAACGCTCCTCAGCAGTGTGCCCGGTTGCATAATTCTGAAATACTGAGAGATTTGCCGTCACATCTCAGGCATTTAACAGAAATGCAAAGGAATGAAATTGTACAGTTAATCCGTGATTTTCCATCACTCTTTGCTGACATCCCTACACAAACTACAGTCTTACAGCATGATATTAATGTTTTGAACCCGGGACCTCTCGCACCAAAGCGAGAATCATTCCCCTAGACCAACTCTCTTCTCAGCAGGATCCCTAGCAAGAGCATCCAGAAACTCCAGCACATACAGAATAGTGCCGCTAGGATCCTGATGAGGGTGCGTAAATACGAACATATCACACCAATTCTTCAATCATTACACTGGCTTCCCATTTCCACTAGGATTGAATACAAGGTCTCCCTCCTCACACATCAGTGCATCTATGGCAATGCCCCCACTTACCTTAAAGAACTCCTCACCCCACAGATTTCAGCACGTCCCCTCCGCTCTACAAACACTCATCGTCTCCTCCCCCCTAGGACTAAGACCCGCACCATTGGGGATCGAGCCTTTTGCGCCGCTGCTCCTCGCCTATGGAA